ACTAAGCCTGGTTCTCTGACTTTTCTGGAAATTCTGTGAACTTACCAATTTCCTTTCGCAAAAACTTGCTTTTTAGTCTTGCTAGAGTCGACTTTGTTCTTCCCAACTAAGAATACAAAATGAGGAGAGTATTTGCTATTATTTATAGAAAATTCTATCTTTGGCTGTAATTGGCAGAAACACTTTACAGTTGGCATCAGCTATATTTTTTTTGCTTGAAGTGTAGTTGACATGTTATATTAGCTTCAGGTGTACAACATAGTGATTCAACATCGGCTATATTTTTGAGTTCTAAGTGCCTCTTTTCTTTAAAGCACAGTGTAAGTGGGATCCTCACATTGGAGTGATTGTTGCCAGTTACTCCAGACAGAGGAATAGCTTGGAGTGTGCTTTGGATTTCTGCTCTGTATCTTCCTCAGCAGTCTGTCATCTCCCTGAACACCTCGATTTGTTTCTTTGCATTGTTTATTGTCCTCACTTCAGTTACCTCAAAATTGTCCTTGAGTGGTTCTTTGTGGGTGTGATGATTTTATGGTTCCTGGTTTTTTGTCAGGAACAGCTTCTAAAATGAGCCTGACCTTGACTCCACACCGAGCGAGAGTCCAAGCACGCTGGATTATTTCCTACATATCCAAATGGCTCATTCCCCCTCCATCCTTGCCTGAAGCTACTGGGAATTTATTGCTCAATCCTTTTATATGCATTTTTTTTAATTTTTTTTTAAAGATTTTATTTTTTTTTATTTATTTGAGACAGAGAGAATGAGAGAGACAGAGAGCACATGAGAGGGGGGAGGGTCAGAGGGAGAAGCAGGCTCCCCGCCGAGCAGGGAGCCCGATGTGGGACTCGATTCTGGGACTCCAGGATCATGACCTGAGCTGAAGGCAGTCGCTTAACCAACTGAGCCACCCAGGCGCCCAATCCTTTTATATGCATTTTGTGGTAGTGTGTGATTCCTGGCCTGAACCTATTTTACTGAAAAAGTAGAAAGATATGGCAGTTAGTAGGATGTATTATGGATTAAATTTTAGAAATGTTAAATTTTGTGTTAGAAAATAATTGGTTAGGGGCGCCTGGGTGGCTCAGTCATTAAACGTCTGCCTTCAGCTCAGGTCATGATCCCAGGGTCCTGGGATCAAGCCCCGCATCAGGCTCCCTGCTCAGCGGGAGGCCTGCTTCACCTTCTCCCACTCCCCCTGCTTGTGTTCCCTCCCTCTCTGTGTCTCTGTCAAATAAATAAACACAATCTTAAAAAAAAAAAAAAAAAGAAAAGAATTGGTTAGTCTTCTCTTTGACTCTGATTTTGAGAATATAAGGAACATTCAAAATATGCCAACATCAAGAAATCAAAAAGTAATAGGAGAATAGATGGGACAAAATCAGGGAGAGATGATTTCATATTACCCAAGAAAGACAGGAGAATTTAAATGACTTAATTTAATACAACAGAGCCATTTTACAAGACTGTTGGAAGATAAATTTATATTTTGTAGGCTTACTGCATGGATGGGGAAAAATAGAGTCAGTGGATATAGAACACTAACTTTCCGAATTTGTGTGTATGTGTGAACCAATAAATAGCAATAAAAGGATGATTCTAGGGGTGCCTGGGTGGCTCAGTCATTAAACGTCTGCCTTAGGCTCAGGTCATGATCCCAGGGTCCTGGGATCGAGCCCCGCATTGGGCTCCCTGCTCAGTGGGAAGCCTGCTTCTCCCTCTCCCACTCCCCCTGCTTGTGTTCCCTCTCTCGCTGTGTCTCTCTCTGTCAAATAAATAAATAAAATCTTAAAAAAAAAAACAACTTTTAAAAAAAAGGATGATTCTAAGACATTTAAATAAAATGCAAGACCTGAAAATCCAAATATACATCTGACATTGAAGCAACTCTTATAAAAGATACACCTTCAAGATAAATTAAAATTATTCTTTACAACAGAACTACTAATAAGATCATAATTTATTTTCATCTGTTCGTTAATCTTCCTCTGGTGAATGCCAGCCATTTTTTGCCTTCACTACTATATGCTATGGTGAAGAGTTACAAAAGCATATTTTGTTACCAAATAAATTGTCTGTTTATGAAATGAATAAATATTATTTAATGTAGAAAAAATAACATAAATATTGCTAGTTCTAAGGGCGGATTACATTAAAATGTTTGGAAGCACTATGTCTCCCTGATGAAGAGTACCATCAGACCATCCATGTTTGCCTCCTGGCTTACTAAATAAACAGTTAAGATGGAATGATTTCCAGTACTTGAATCTGTCATCATATTTCTTTTTTAACAATAGCTAAGTAATAGAAGGTCATCAAAACTTGTAATATAAAGTGCTAACTTTTTAATTATAAATTAAATCTACATCATTGTAGATGCATATGGCCATATCTTCATTTTCCTATGACTCTTTTTTCTTTTACTGTTATGCATTTCTTTAGGATAAAATTGCACTTCTATTTCAAAGCAGCCTCTTGGCCTAGACTAGGTGAGAGATAATAAAAGCAGGAGTTAGAACAGTGACATAGAGTGGCAAGGTTCCATTTTAGAAATGGGTGGTAAAATCAGTCAGACTTCGTGGTAGATTGGGTGAAGCCAGTAAATGTAAACTCTTCATAGGTGGTAATAAAAGGAACAAATTAAGGCAGTGTCCAAATAAAAACGGAAAAGCAAAGTGACATCATTTTTATGGTGGAAGAAACCTCCATGCATACACATCCAGGTTATAGATCCGGTAGAGAAGGACAGGTCAAGGATAGAGTGAGAGCCAATATTTATTGAGGCTTCGCCTCCTTCTAAGTACTTTAGAAGTCTCTCATTTAATGCTCACCAAATGCCATATCAGGGAAATTATATTTTTATCATATTTTACAGCTGAGGAAACAGAATTCTAAGTAATATGCCCAAGTTCGCACAGCTAATAGTGGAGACTGACTTTGAATCTGGGTCCTTAACAAACTCACCACTGTGTCCCACTAGAGAAAGAAGAAATAACCAATGAAATCCCAGAGATGTGATTGAGCAAAAGCACAGATAATGATTTGTCCTGACAGGAAGATGCTCTGGGACCAGAGGAAATAGCATAAAGATAGGACAGATGTAGATAGGGTTTTAAAATAGGTTAGACAAGAAGTTAAAGTACTTTGCTGCTAGCTTTCTTTCACTTGATAAAGAAGAAAGCAAAGTTGTCCCTCCAGTTCTAAAGCAGGGTAAATATTGAAGGGCTACTCTTAAAACATGTGCAGAAGGAATAAGCTACTTGATTTCTGAGGACAGAACAGAAACTATCATCATATTTCTATTGATTTCATTGTGCAAGAAACTTGAAGAAATCATTACAAAATGACCATATGTTGGCATTACTTTATATAAAAAGTAGGAAAAATGAAGACTCTTATTTTTTTTAATTCAGGCTAACTCCAAATACCACAGAATAGATGGATTACCTACTTCTGAGCTACATTATGTAAATTTGATTTTTTTAAATTTTATAAAACAAATATCAGGTTTTAAAGAATACAAAACAAACACAAGAATTAAATTATACCTTCATATTCTAAGATGTAAATCCAAGTAACTGTAGAGAAATGTATATTTATTACTAATAAATATAATTCCATAAAGCTGAAAGAGACTTTGGCATCAGATGACCCAAATGGTTCCCTTCTCAGAAGAGGAAACTAAGATCCTATGAAATATATGACTTGGTAAAACTGATACAGTTCACTAGGAAAACCAAGCCTTCATATACAGTATCCCTTTTGTATTCAGAATACACTATCCCTTGTGTATGTGGTCAGAAGAAATGTTATCTCATGTTCTCTTTTACTCATATATTCTTTACGTTGTCCTATCATTCATGCCAATTAATCTACTGCAGTAGATGTATAAACTACTAATTGATCCTAAGGGGTATGATAAGGGATGGAACATTTACAGAATGCACACTGTTTGTCAGGATCATCGCTAAGCACCTCTCTCTGTACTTTACCATACATAATGACCTTAAGTATTTATTGATAGATCCATTTATTTTCAAGGTCGAGAGAAGTGTGGCTGAGGGACGTTAAATAACTCACTTGGGGTCACGTATGGCCATGTCCCTCCCATCACACTATGAAATACCATGATGTTTGCATCTGTTAAATATCTAAATTTCATTTTTCCCTGTGCAACTTCAGATATTTTTTTTTCACTTTTAAATAATATCAGCATGGTTCCAGAAAGTTTAATCTTCGATTTCAATAGCATGTACTACACAGAAGAGTTAGAATGTAAGTGTTAAAAAAGAAATTAAGCTTAACTGCTCTTACCCTTGAGCGCTTCTGGAAGGGACCAGAGAAGCACAATTTATGGGAAGGAAGCACACAGTGGAATGAGGTGCTACCACTTTCTCAGAGGAGCTTGCTGCCCCTCAGGACCACTCACACTGGAAGGATGCCACATGTCCTATTTCCTCATAAACTTGCTAGCAAATCTAACTTTCTTAGGGAATGCTAGTTTGGCATCTCCCAAGTCCCATGTGTAAACTCAGCGGGCGAGGGAAATTGAGAAATGCAATTTATTAAGTTTTCTGCAGGACATGTAAGGAAATCTCAAAACACAAGGAAGGATTGCAACATACTTTAGGCAGCCCAAACTTAAAAATGTTCACTACAATTCACCCATAAATTTCCCAATATAAGAAAACACCTTCCTTTATTCTCAAACAACGGAGGGGCGCCTGGGTGGCTCAGTTGGCTGAGCACCCAACTCTTGATTTCGGCTCAGGTCATGATCTCAGGGTGCTGGGATCGAGCCCTGCATTGGGCTCCGTGCGGGTGTAGAGCCTACTTAAGATTCTCTCTCTCCCTCTGCCTCTCCCCCAACTCTCTCTCTCTCTCAAAATAAAAAATAAATAATAATAATTTTATTCAAACGATGGAAATAATAGGTTCTAGTCCCTCAACCTAGGAAAATATAATTTCACTCACAAGAATGAAAACAAGTGCATTGTCTTACCAAAATGAAGAGCCTCACATCCTGTGGATCTGCTTCAAGTTCAGATTTCTAATTATTATTTCTTCCTCATTTAGTTCTATCATATTAGCACTTTGATATTCTGTAACATGAAAGAAATTTGAAAATTTAACCACTCCACAAATAATAATTAGGGGAAGAGAGTGGGGAGGATATTAGTCAATGTGCATATGTACATATAACACACAGCAAAGAAAAGAGGGAAAAAAATGGGCAGGAAGTGTCACTGTTATTTCTCCAATGGGTTTATCAGAAAATCATAGTTGTTATTCATAATTTAATTCTTCCATCAGCTATTCCATGTTTCCACTTCCTGAACTCTTTATCCCTAGTGGATCTGAGTGCATAGTTGTCCTGCCTGCAATGGTTGCTGAATTCTTGCATTACCTATTACCATTGAACATGGCAAAAAATAAGTGGCATTCCTAGGATTCTCTGATTTTAAGACATAATCTTTTCTAGCCCTATAGTGTAGCAGAAAACCTATTACTTTGTCACAGGTTCCATATAGCATGCTGAGCAGCTACAGATACCCCAAGAAACATTGGGTCTGCTGGTGTAAGGGGATCAAGTGTCCAAACTGCTTGCATTGCAGCCTGCCCTGGATAAAGAGCCTTCTGTTTCTCTTACTTTCATTCATAGATGAGCCTTTATAAATGCTTGATAAAGGGACAGAAGCAGTACATCCAAATGGTGATATAATATTTCTCCAAGATTTAATGTGATCTACCAATCTTCATGCATCATTATAAGTGGTTAAGGATTATAAAGATTTGCATCCTGTCTTTAACTTTGGAGGCTAGACACTGACAGGTTCCTGAAATTTCAGATTTTATGCAGTCCAGGTCAAGACGATATACTCTAGTGGATTAGTATAGGATTCCGTAAGGTGCTGAGAACACCAGAATCCCTGTGGACTCAATTATGGCAGAACCAATGAGGCACATCCATTTTCCACAAGAGCAAAATTGCTACCAAATTGACATAAGGAACATGTTATTTCCTTACTCAAGGCATCAGAATATCAACAAGCATGTTGAAACAGATAATCAGTTTTAGCTATCAGGTTTTCATATTTCCGAAACTCATTCTATTTTTTTCTTTTTTTTCCAGATTAAGAATGAGGCAGATCAAAAGAGTTGTAAAAAGGTGTTTTCATCAAAAAATTTTAGATCAATGTCTTCAATATTACTGGGATATGCAAGATTAATTTTTTTGCAAACTATCTTCCATTCAAATTCTATAAAGTAGATATTGTGTTTAAGTAGTGCATACTCCTCTTAATTTTGATATTCATAATTTAACAGTTATGATTGTAGTAGTAAAGTGTCATGATAAAGTACAGTTGATTAATGAAATGATTTTATATATAATAAAATTATGTATTTTAAACATAAAACTGGCTAATCTGATTTCAAAAGATAGTTTTCAAATTAAATCTGTTATGTAATTCAAAATTGACCATATTTTCTCATTCAATCCATTTAATTCTTATTTAAGTATAGCTAAACCAATATAAAAGCCATTTGGCAATATTGAAACATCAGAAAATAATCAGTCATGCAATATTTCAGTTGGGTAGTGTTATAATGGACATTCCAATAATAATAAGTATATATAGTAATATGTAATATATATACTATATATAGTAAATATAACCTAATTTATATTGTTTGGCATATGTGACTGAATGATTAGAACTATTTAATCCAAAGTCTGTTCCATTCAACAATGAAAAATATTCAGTCAGATTGTTAGCTTAAATTAATGAGTCAATTTAGTCAAAGTTTGTGGGGCTTATCTAGAATAAAATTAGAATATTCAGTTTCCCATGAAACTTTATAGGTATTTTTTATCAAGTGATTCTGTACTTCACATCCTATAACTTTAAACATGGGTCATTTTATACTTCAGCCTGACACGAAGCACATGGGGTAGATGCGCAATAGATACTGATCGAAATGATGGGTAATAAATCTACCTCTTACTTTAATATTCCATTGACAAAAGAAATTTCACAGGGCATCCAAATAGCATTTGGCTATATTTTTTATGGGTAGAAAAAGTAAATGTTTTTGCAAAAACATTGCCGAACTTTTAAACAGATATAACAAGATTTCTCTAGGAAAACCTGTTCCTCTGATATACGCATTATTGTTTCCTCTTTGACATTATTAATGCCAATGGATCTCAAAGACTTATGTACAAACACATTTAAGCCTTATTTTGAAGATATAAGTTAAGAATAAATATTAAGATTTTAATACTTCCTTGTATCTGAATTTCTGTGGAAATTACATGCAGAAAAACACTGCTAGAGGAACTAAAATTGTAAACTGTGTTATAGTTAGAGAAAAAGTAGAAATTTTATCGAGGGAGAGCAGCTGGCTGTGGTCCTGAGTCTTGTTCTCAGCTTTGCAGATCCAGGGAACCAACGTACCAGAGACAGAATTCAGGAAAATGGAATCACACTCTTTCAGGAATCTTTTTGGTAAGACACACATGTGCGTGCGCATGCGCGAACACACGCACAGACCCCCAACAATTTATTCAGCAATAGTTAATGCAAATTTAATTTTTAAAGGTCAGATATCTAAGATATAAAAAAAACTACTTTGTTAACATTTTTATAAGCAATGACATTAAATATATATTTTTAAAATATTCAGAATCTAGAACTTCTCTTTCTTTAGCATACAACAGGAGAGAGGGAGGTCGAGGCCGTGGAAAGAAAGAGACACAGAGAGACATGAGAAACAGATTCCTGAACAAGAATCTTTCTTTCTGCCAATGTCAACAGGGTACTGAGACCTTCATGTTTCCACAGCTTGATGCATTTTGTAGAGGACAAGTAGCAGAGTGGCTGCCCAGTAACTGAGTAAACAAAAGAACCAAAGCAGCTTTTGGTAATATTTGTCTCCCAGCCTTTACCATACTGCTTAGATCCATTTTTGAGGAACTGCCAGGAAGTTACTGCAGATGTGCATTAATCCACACACCAAGGAGACTGCATCAGTCTCCCTTATCATGTGCTTTTTGTCTCCTAGACTTCCACCTTAGGGTTCCACGAAGTCCCTGGGTTCAATGAAGTATGTTCTTTTCAAGAATGCATTTTATCTATTTTAATTATCTTATACACAAACATCCTCAAGATGTTAAAAAAAGACTTTTTTCAAAGTAAAAAAAAAAACAAACCTAAAGAGTATGAGTGCTTTTTTCTTACAGAGACAGCAAATCTAGATATTTTATACACTCTTAGAAATTACAGAAATATTTGAATGAGCATGATATATATATGTATATATACATAATCTTTTCATATGTTACCACCAAACTGAAGTTTTCTTTTTTTCCCCAGAAACCAACTCTTCTTCTAACATTATATTCTTCACTTAGTATTCAAAATGTTTTGCCTCCTTATCTTTGTCAAAGTCCTAGGATTTTGATTTGTATCATCCCTTTCCCTGTGGGCGAATCCCACATCTTAATTTTTTTATTGAATATGCTGTCCCTGGGGCACCTCGGTGGCTCAGTTGGTTAGGCGACTGCCTTCGGCTCAGGTCATGATCCTGGAGTCCCAGGATCAAATCCCATGTCGGGCTCCGGCTCAGCAGGGAGTCTGCTTCTCCCTCTGACCCTCCTACCTCTCATGCTCTCTGTCTCTCATTCTCTCTCTTGCAAATAAATAAAATCTTAAAAAAAAAAAAATTTGAATATATGCTGTCCCCTTCACTACTAAAGAGAAGATAACTAGCTCTCCTTATGCATCTTGGTCCTCCTAAAATTCCCTGTTCAGTACATTCTTTTTCTCATCAACACTGATCTCTACCCTGAAGCCGGAGAGAAATATCTGAAATATTAACCAGCTGAAAATCATTCCAAGTCTGGCATCTTGAATGTAACAATAGTTCTTAAAGTGTGTTTCTGATATCAGCATATCAGGGTTACCTGTGAACCTGTTAGCAATGCAAATTATCCAGCCCCACCCCAGATTCAAAGCAGAAACCCTGGGAGTTGGGCCCAGCAATACGGGTTTTAGGAAGCCCACTGGCCATTGTGACGTGTGCCCAGTTTGAGAACCACTGATCTATGGGACAAAGTCTCTGTTTCTTAGCATGATGTAAAGTAGTGTTGCCCATGGAAAGGCAGCCTGTGGGTCAGCTGGGAGCTTGTAAGAAGTCCCTCCTGGACCAACTCGGAAACAACTAATACTGTGTGTCTGCCTGGAATTGCACACGGTCTGGGGTAGTTGGGCCAGTGTGTTGGCAAGCTCTTCAAGTGATGGCGATGCATACTTAAGTTTGAGAAACACTGGTGGGAAGATCCTGCATGGGCCTATTTCTACCATTTTAGCCTTCTGACTAGCTCTTCTCACATTTGGAAATCCAGCCTCAGCAGTCGACCTGTGTTTCCTCAAAAGTACGAGTAGCTTCCGGGCTCAGTAGCGTTGTCCTCATGAATCCCTCTGTCTGCATTGCCCTCACCAATCAGTTCTCCTGGCTAAATCCTGTGCATTCCTCCAGACTCAGTGGCCCTCTGACCTCCTCCAGGAGGCCACCTTTGACTTCCCCCGCACTGTTGTGTTTTTCTTCTCCAAGGCTCCACTGCAATTGCTATGTTGGGTGTGTATCTCCCCACCAAAATCTAAGCATAAGGAGCAAATTATAAAGATTTCTTTAAAGATAGTATACTTTCCACGTGTGGAGAGAAAAGGCGACATTCAACACATAAGGGTTATATAATAAGGGGGTGCTAAGTAGTATAAAGATCACCTAGTCCTGGTGTTGTCCTGCACTGGGGGTGTGACTTCGTCACTCAGTCCTGGAGTCTCAGGTCTGGCATCTGTGAAATGGAAAGAAAAATTCCTGCCCTTTTTACCGTAGAGCATTGCTGTGTGAATCAAACAAGATCCTTGATGTCAAAGTGCTTAGTAGACACAAAATTTTACACAAAGATGCAGAAGACATTTTCACATAGTTCGTGTTTTGATTAAACAAAACTAGCCCTTATCTTCCTCCTGAAGTATCAAATTTCAGGCGAACCATAAAATTAATTGATAATAG